CAGCTCTGTGGAGTTCAGTGGAGGTTGGGCAGTGAGTGCCGGGTGACAAGATTCCTGTCTCGGTTTCTGATGCATTGATTCTGTTAAAGCAAAGCAGCACGCTGGGTATTTACAGCAGAGCTCAGGACATTTTCCGTCAGCCTCGTAATGCCCAGAGACAAGCTCGGGGCTGCTTGGCTTCTGGGGAGCGGGGGAAGGGATTAAATGCACTTTTCTCCATTGATTTGTGTCCTACACTGAAAATCGATGATGTTCTTGCAGATCCACTCAACTGTTTGAAAACCAGCTGCCTCTTCGGTCAAGTGTGTTGGGAAAAGTTCTGAAGGAATTGGCTCTTACGGGCTGATGGGCTGGCCAGAGGTGCTCAGCAGGAACTGTTCTATTCACCTGGTAACGATTGCTTTTGTATCATCAGTCTATATTAGTTGATTACACTGTTTAAAACGTTTTCTCACTGTTAGAGAGAACTGCTGTTTTGGAGAGGAGGAGACAAATGCTGCTTTTGTTTCCATCTGAGGCTGGGAGGGGAAAATTAAACTTTAATGAAGCAGGATGCAGAAGGATAATTTTTATCCCTCCTCTTTCTCTCTGACAGGATCTACCTGAATCTAGGGTCTGATTTTGTCCAGGGTAGCAGTGTTTCTTGTCTTCTAGTAAATGATTGAAAAGCTTGTACTGTAACAAATTCCTAGAGTTTCTAAGTTTTCCTTCCTGAAGAGGGAGAGCAGCATACGATCCCTGATTTTACAAGGGTAGTATATAGAAATTTTGTGTAGATGGGGTTACACTATAGCCATACTCTGTGTAGATGGAGCTAATGAGAGCTTGAAACTGAAGTCTGAGGTCTCAGACCAGAGGCTGGCAGCCTTGCACATGGCTTGCTACTTCTTTTAGTCTTAAATACTTCCATTACTCTTTCTAGGAGAAAGGATTTTTGTTCTGCCTCCCAAAGCTTTCCTTCAGCCTCAAGCTGCACAAGATGAGTACACTTGTTTGATTCGCTATCAGCTGTGTATGATGGACATTTCTTTGTATTTAGGAAAAAATACGCAATTGTTGCATGTGTAGATGCACCTTAGAAGATGTAAAATAGCCAGCTGGGGTCCTGGTAGAGCTGTGGCAACACCCAGATCAGCACAGGATAGCCACCCAGGTGCTTACTCAGCTTCTCGGATGGTTTTACAGCCACTGCAGAGGGTTAGGGAGCCAGCGTTACTCTTCTGTTAATAGCCAAGTAGGCTAGCTGGAGGTGCTTTGCTTTTCTAAGTAGATTTATCTTCGGGCATATGGATATAAAGGTGTAAGCATGAGCTGTATGGGTGTGCAGTACAGATCAGAACAGTTGTGTATACACGCGCACGCAGAACACCCCTGTCCCCGTGGCCTTGCTGTGAGCAGCAAGCTTTAGACGCGTTTTACTAACGAATAAAAGAAGTTCTCTTTGGCTGGTTCTGCTCAGTAAATGGTAAAATTCATCTTCTGTGAACTCCCTACCACATCTGATCCTTCTTACAGGAACTGAGAGGTTTGTCTTCACTGCTGTGATGGCCTAAGTGGAATATCTGAGCTGGTTTTCACCACTTGCTAACTGCACTATGGTGAGGCTGAAGATGGGCTCTAAGCGTCCCTCGGGCTGCCTTAAAACGGCCCTTGGGAGGGAGTGATAAGTTGCATCCCATAGCGGTCACTAAATGTAGACGACCAATTTCTGCTCGATTTGGCTTTTTCTCTCCTCAGTGAAGCACATCGAAAACATAAAATTAAATTTTAGGGGGGTTTTCAGGGATTTTTTTTTCTCTCCTAGAAACTCAAAAAGAAAACCGTGAAACAAATGGAGAAAAAAAAAAAAAAAAAAAAAAAAAAAAAAAAAAAGTTTAATTCTGCAATTTACTAGCTACAAAAGTGAATAAAGCTAATGTATACATGTGAGCGTGTTTATCGTTCTGAAGCATGTGTGCTTTTTTCCAAGAGTCTCTCTCCAGCCCTTGAGTGATGAATCTGATTTTTTTTTTTTTTTCCATGCTGGATTTTTACTGCCTCCAAACTTAACTGTTTTGACACTAGAAAATCCTCTTCTTTCTCCTTCGAAAGTAAATATATATATTATTGCTAGAAATCAGCTCTACCTCACCCACATGACTGGTCTTCACTATTAATCCCAGCTGATGGTAGGGAGGGGCTCTTCTGGGAGGCAGCCATGTGGTGAACATTGAGCACAGTGTTTTCCCCTGCTTCTCTCCTTTTCAGACAAGCAAAATTGTTCTGTGCTGCCGTAGATGTAAACTCCTTGCTGCACTGCCTCCGTCTCTTCTTTTCCAGAAACTCAGGGGCCTGAATTACCGGCCACAGAGATCGAAAAACTCTCACTGAATCTGGATGGAATATGGACGAGGAGATGAATAGCAGAAGGGAAGAAAGAGTGAAGTTGGTTATTTTTCTGGCACATGGATGCAATTACACTCAGTGCATTCCAGAGGCGTTCCTTTGAATCCTGTGCAGGTCTGCCTGCCGTTCCTGGGAGAAAGGAGGAAAAAGGGAGGAAAAGTCCCTCTTGCTTCGAGACGGAATGTCTGCACTTTCAATTCTCTTTTTAGGTAGGTGGGCTTTTTGGTTTTATTCAGCGTTTTTAATCGAGCTTCCATGTGCCCTCTCCGCATGACTGAAATTCATTTCTGATGAGCTAGAGGAAGGGATTTGTAAAGAAAAAACTTTTATGGAAAACTCCAATTTCCGTGTTGTTTGGGATATGATGCTTTTCTTGTTGCTTTATTAGCAGGTTGATAGCCAGAGTTCTTTTAATATCTGGATTCATTTTTTAGAAGTGGCTGTTAAAACAGGCTCCTTTTGGAATATATGTTTTCTCTTTTAAAGAGGGCAGCGCTTAAGCAGTGAACTAGTGAGGGGCTTGAACCTCTTCGGCAAAAAAGGTGGTGAACAAAATCTCTTTGTTTCAGGCATAGTGTCAAATTTGTTTAACTCTGTTTTGATTTGCTTGGGCATTTAACATTCAGATTTTAAAATAAAAAGAGGTTATTGTTTCCAATTGATGCCTTAGATGAGAAACAGATGTGTTGAAGTGCAAGAGGGAGGAGTTGAGGGGGAAAAGGATGGGAGAGGGAGATAAAGGAGGAAGGCAAGAAATGGGAAGAAAGAGGGCTGCTGAAAGAGGGGAAAGGAAAGAGGCAGAGGTTGACTTGGAGAGGAGCGGAGAATGGGAAAGGAGATGTTAAAGGAGAGTAAAGGCAGAAGGGTTGAAGAGAGCTATTTGTTAAAGCCACAGACTGTGGAGAAAAGAGTTTGCAGCCCTGGGGTTTTTGAGGGGGCTTGCCTACAAGGCAGCCTCGGGAGTCGCCTGGCTTTCTGCATCTCCAGAGGCACTGTAATGTGATGAGTGAGCTTCTGTCTCCGTGCTGCTCACCACATCGTGCTGACAGGCAGACAGCTTTGAAATCTGCTGTGGCAGGGCAAAGGCTGTGATTCCTGGGTCTTCCTGTTCCCCAGAAGCCTGGGTACAGGTGTGAAAAAGCGGGTTGGTCTCTGATTACCTGGGAAGAGTTGAGTCCCACGGGGTGGTGGGCTGATGTGGCCGGGCACAGGTAGAACGGAGTTTTTGGACCACTATGAAGAAATGCTGCAGGGGATAGCCCTGCCCTGTTCCTTAAGTCTCAGTGGTGTGGAACATGGACTAGCCAGATTTGTAGGTGTAGGTGCTCTAGGGCTCGCTGTCAGAGGTTTTATCTGTAGGAATGCGACAGGGGGCTTGAACACGCTGCAGAATTTGCAGTAGTTTGTACCCCCCTGCACATCTTCTCTGGCCATTTGTGTCTCAATATGCTGGAGATGGTGTGTAAAGAAGACACCGGAGGAGACAGCAAGGTTAGAAAGAACAGCTAGGCTTCTGCCAGAGGTGTCTGGGTGGGTCAGCCCCACAGAAATGGCCAGGAAAATGGCTCTGGGGAAATCAGACAGACAGGTAAGTTGCTTACCTCACTGATGGAGACAAATGGCAACTGCAGGCTTTGATCCACCAACTCAGCTGCTGAACAGTCCTGTATGTTGAAGGCTTGGAGCAAAAAGAGTGATCTGTTGCCACAGAAAAGGTGCTTTTGGCTGTCGTGTAATGACACCTTACCTTTGAGTGACCAGTGCTGCTTTTATTTATAAAACACAATGGGCTTTATCGTCATTATTCTTATGTCTTCGGGATTTAGGCATCTCCACTACGCTAGTAACGCATAAACCCAGAACAAAAGACAATCCCTGACCTCAACAGCTTATGCCCTCACCCATGAGTCAAGTTTCTCAGCCTCTGTGTGGGTGTTGTCCAAGCGCTGGTGAGGAGAGGACAAGTGGCTTCCCAAAGCCACAGCAGAACCTGGACTGTTTTGTTTCCCGGTACCACGTTAGTCATTGATCTGCCCCTGGTCTTGCCTGTCTTGTCAAGAGGTGACTTAGTCTTCTGGCTCTGCGTCCAGCTTCATTTACCAATATTAGAAGCATGTTCCAGGGAGAAGTAAGGAAGTATTGTGGTTCCCTGGTGTTAGATTGTCCTGAAAATGAGGTTGGGGAGTCTCTTGTGCTAGCTAGAGAAAGTCTAATTGATTTTCTGCAGCAAAAAGATCTAGGAGTGCCAATGATGGCTTGTTTTTCTTGCTGATAAAGTGAAAGACTAGTGTGGAGAAAAAGTTTAGAGAAGCCAAGCAAACTTGAAAGGGAGATTGCCTGGTTTGGGTCTTCATTATTAAACATACTAATAGGATGGGTAATGTCTACAGTACTTGCCTTTTACACTCTCTGCCTCTCTGGGGCAAGTGAGCAGTGGTGTGAGGAGACAGGAAACAGGAGCCAATTAGTTTTAAGGAGACTTTTAAAACAAGATGAAAGCCTGTCCGAAATGTGAGCAAGAGTGTGACCGTGCTTCCCTAGTAAAGGCTAGGTGAGTGAAGCAAGGAGTGAGGAGTGGAAGATGATGCACGCTAAAGTGTGTGCCAGCATCTCAGGGTTTGTGATACTGATTCCTGTCTCGGTCCACAGCTGGTCGAAATGGTTTCAAACTCTTTGTGTTAACACACTGCACTTAAAAATCAAGATGGAAATTTCCAAGGGAAATATCTGTGATTCTTCACTTCTCAGTGTAAAAACTTCGTAATAGAATGTTGTATTTCTCAGCCAGTAAAAAAACAGCAAATGCTTTCATTTAAACGTTTTATTGAACTGGTTTACGTTTTCTGGTGCTGGTAGTGTCCTTTGCCTTCTTTCACCCCCTCAAGTCAATTTTGAACATTTTTAATGAGCCTTCCATTAAAGTAAAAAGAGAATTTTCTTCTAATCAAACTTGCTTTCCTGGGCAATGCTCCTCTGCCTGGCTTTGACACTGGTATCACACGCTCTTTCTTGTTGTGGCGCAGGTGTGTGCTCCGCCCTTCACAAACCAGGGCCTTCAAGATTCAAAGCAGTCGATGTGCCAAGCCAAATCAGTTGCCCAGCTTCTTGGTGTCCTGCTATTGGCAGCAAACATTTACATTAGCGTTAGGGGTTGCTCACCGCAATACCCATCGAGTCCAATTGAACGAGGGCACGGTCAGAGCGTTAGAATCAACGTGCTGTACCGGGGTGATGTTGCTAGAGTTGGTGCAGCTGTATTAGCAAAGGTACCTTTTCTACCAATGTAGGAAAGTGCCTTTTTTACCGACGTCGCTGAGCTCTGCCCTCTAAGCTCTGAGGTCAGCGACTCTCTTACAGTTCTGTCCCAGGGGTGTACAGCTGCTGCACTGAACACCAAAACTCTGACTGTCTCACTGCACTGGGAAAAAGGTTATGGCGTGGATCCTTCCAGCGCCTGTTGGCATGAGCGATTGGGTCTGACAGCACGCGTTTGCCGAGGTATTCTCCAGACTTCTAGCTTGGAAATCCGTGATGATATGGAAGCGGCTCTGCAGCGCTCAGCAGGGGTAGGTCAGCCTGGGGCTGTGCTCTGGTACACTGACTCCGGCCTTTTCTGCTCAAAGAGCACAGGCAACCTGCAGCGTGCCCTATCGCATCTCCTGGAGATGCTTCTCCTTACACCCTTGCAATGCTGCGCCCCAACAAAGCCACAAACCACTGCGGTGCAAAAAAAAAAAAAAAAAAAAAAAAATCAGTCCTGCTTCCAGTGAGGTTACTGGAAGTTTTACATTTTAATGAAATGCTTCTGCCTGGAACTAGTGAAAAACAAGGGAGACTCTTTTAAGCAGCCTCTAACTAAGCTGATGGATTTTATATTTCTGCTGATTTTCCAGGTTTGTCCTGAGTTCCTCAGCAATAACAGTATATAACACACTTGCTATTCCCTAGTTCTCTCGTGCCTTTGCCTGTTCCATACGTACTTAGAAGCCTGGTGGGACAAGGATTTTGTCCCGTGTTTTTACGGGACTTAACAAAAACAAAGCTTTGGCTCGGGAGTGGAGTACAAAAAGAAGAATCTGTAACTGAAAAGGGAATTTGTGTTTTGCTGTGTGGACTTCACCTTCTCTCTGTGTCATTGGATTCTGAAGGAATGCGGGTAACTTCTTGGTGTATTCAGGTCAAAAGACTGTTCTCCCAAGGACAGCTTCATATAATTGACAACTCATTTCTACCCCAAAAACTACAAAAGCAGTCAACAAAATATCGACTGTACGCAAGATTCAGTCTGTTACAATAGTGTGAATTCAATTCTAGACAGGGCAAAGAGCTCTTTAACAGAAGAGAGCTCTAGGAGTACCTAAGGAAGGGCAGCAAAGGAAAGCAGCATATCCATTTGGCACTCCAGGGGAAATTCAAAGGAGCTAGACATAATTGAGTTGCTATCTGGCAGGATATCAGGGTTAGCACTTCTTGTGAGACACTGAAATTCTTTTAAGGCCGAGGGATGGTTTGCATCAGATATTTTCTGTCAAGACACTTGATGAGAAATGGCCTGTTTTTCTCTAGTAGTGCATTGTTTTATGTGAAGTAATTCGGATTTGTAGCATCTTAAAAAAAAAAAAAGTTTCTTTTGGGGGTTATTTTTATTGTTTTTGTTTTTTCTACTTTACCATGAGGAAGAAGAGGAAAAAGGTAACTTTCCAGAGTGAAGAAAAGCAGCATGCCAGAGTTGAGTTGAAATTCTGAGAATTAATTCATTTTATGGGAAACAGAGCCAGGGGAGGCAATTTGTCTGAGTTTCCCATGGAAAGCAACTGGTGTTTTGCCTTTGTGCCCACCCTGGACCTTGTCTTCTCCATGTAGAATTAGTGGTCTGTTTTTGTGGGGTACTCTGGCCCACTTCAGAAGCACATTTTGTGCAAGAGCAGCTCAAGCTTCCCAGAAATGTCATTGCATAACTGGATTGGAGATACCCTGATGTTTATCCTCAGGATCACAACAAACGCCCCTGTTTTCCTCAAGGCAAAGACGAGGGCTTTATAGGGAACTGAGCAGGTTTGCAATTTGGGATTTGTTTGAGTTTTCAGGAACTGCCTGAAAAGGAATGTAAACAGTCACTCTGACAAAGCCTTGTGTGGCTTTGAAATATCTTTTGTGTGTAAGTGTGCTTGTTGCACCAAACTATTTCTGAAGAGAAAGGCACAGAAAG